TCCATCTCTCCCGAGAAAGTCTAGTTGGTCTGTTCTAATAATTCTATGCCCTTTTCTACATGAAACTTAGACCAAGGCTGAAAAAACAACTAGAAAACACGGAGAGAAGCTTTTTAGAATTTCACGTGATTTTCCCAAACCGATCCCAGAAAAGCAGAACTCGGTAGAATGTGCTCACCTCGAGGCCTTTGGTCTTTTTTTCCATAAGCTTCGTCACCTGATTGAAAAAGCAGAGTAGACTCGGTATTTAGGCTCACAACAGGAAAACCTCCCCTTCGTTTCCTAAAAGAAACTACATTAATCTGCACAGCTGCAGGCGCGTCTCCAGCTGTTAAAGCCTTTCAGCTTTTCAGAGGGTGAGAATGCCCTGCTAAGGAAGGCTGAAAAATGCTGGGAGCCTGCCCAGGTCAAAGAGCCCCTTGATTTTGTCTGTGTTCCAGTCCCTGGCTAAAGAAAGGGCAGAACCACCGCAGGTGTTGCTTGCCTTTTCCCTACGAGGTTTTGCCAGGCGCTGGGCCAGCCCGGGCACTGCGGGGGAAGGCCGGCAGTGGCCAAAGCCCGCCGCTTTCCCAGGGCAAGCGTCGCTTGCGAGAGCGCCCCCGAGCGCCGGGCCCTGCCTCACAGTCGCCGCCTGGCGGACACGGCCGGGAGCGGCACTGCAGCCGCGCGCGGCGCTGCAGCCGCGCCGCCCCCCCCCCCTTGGCGAGACCCGCGGCGCCTTTCGCGCGTCCGGGCCTTTCTTCCCTAAAACCTGCCCTTGCCTAGGAAAAGCTGAGCAGTTCACAGAGTTGCTGTTTCCAGCCCAGCTTCCCAAAGGATTTCTCTCTCCCGGCAGCACAGACAGGGTCCCCGAGGCAGCGCAGACCCTCCCCGCGGGGGGGTGTGGTGCGTGTGCAATGCCAGGGCACATCCGAACCCGGCCCTGCGGCGGCACGCAGGTGCGAGTTTCTCCGCAGAGGCGGGAAACTTGCCTGTCGCTTCCCCGGCCTGCAGTCGCCGATGGTCGCGGGAGAGGCAGAAGAGCGGCCGAGCCCCCCCCCCCGTCGGATCTGCCGCCGTGGGTCGCTTCCGGGGGGGAAGGCGGCGGCGCAGCCCCGACAGCATCTCCAGGGCACTGCGGGACCGAGCGGGGCGGGGGCGGGCGCGGCCCCGAGACGGAGGCTGCCCGCGCCGGTGCCTGCCGCCGCCCACGAACCTGCCGCCCGCGCCCGGCGCCGCCGAGCCCCCCGCCCCGTCCCCACAGCGGGAAGCGGCGCGGCGAGACGGCGCTGCGGGCGCGGGGCGGGGGTCCGGGTCGCGGCGGAGGTCAGGCAACAGGATAGACGCCTCTCTGAGGCGAGGGGGCCTCTCGCCGCCATCTTTAGTGTGGCCCCGGCTAAGTTCCGGTCGTGGCGGCGCCATCTTGAGTGTGGCGTCGGGGCGAACTTCCGGGCCGGGGCCGCCATCTTTAGTGTGGTCGTTCCGGTCCTGGCGGCGCCATCTTTACTGTGGGCTTGGCGGACTTCCGGGCCGGGGCCGCCATCTTTAGTGTGGTCGTTCCGGTCCTGGCGGCGCCATCTTTACTGTGGGCTTGGCGGACTTCCGGGCCGGGGCTTTGGAGGACTTCCTGTCGCTCTCTACTTCCGGTGACCGAGTTTACCCAAATTAGCGTCCCTCCTCGCTAATTTCTGCGCTTTCGCCCCAAAAAATCTTCATGTTATTCCCCCCACACACACCCCGGGAGAGACGGGAGACCGCGAGTCCCGCCCTGCCGCCGGAACCGGCCCTTAACTCGAGCGGGGAGCCCTGCACCGGCACGAGAGCCACTGCGCATGCGTCGCCGGTCCCTCTCCTGGCTGCCCTTACTTACCACGTGATCGCCGGCGTCTTGCCAACGACTGCGCACGCGCCGCCGTCGCCACCTTGCCTGCCCCCCCACCCCGCCGCCCGACCGCCCGGCTTCGCTTTCTTACTGCGGCTCCCCCTCCGCTTTTTCGGCTCCCTGGGGTTCCCCCACCCGCATTTTGGGGGCCCCGTCTCACATTTTAGGGGTGATGACCCCGCAATTTACGGGTCGGGGGCCGGGAGGAGAGGAAACGGGGTGCCCAAGAAGGGGTGGTGCGTGTTTTTTTTGTGTTTTCGTCTGTTAGTGGCCTTGCATTTTATTCCTTTTTATGGTTTTTGTCTTTCTGTTTTGTGGAATTTTAGTTTGTGTTTTATGTATTCCTTTTATATTGGTTGCTTGTTTATGCGCTTCTTGGTCATGTCTCTCCCAGTGCTCCCCTTTTAGTTAACATTCCCTCCGGGTGTCTGTTTACCAATACCAACCTCCTGATAACCCGCAATCCCCCAGTGCTCCCCAGTGCTATTTCTTACAACCCAGTAACACCCAGTGCTCCTCAACAACCCCCAGCAACACCCAGTGCTCCCCAGTAAACACCCAGTGCTCCCCAACAACCCCCAGGAACACCCAGTGCTCCCCAAAAATTGACCCAAAACCGACCCAAATCACCCCAAAAGCTGACCCAAAACTGACCCCAAAACCTGACCCAAATCATCCCAAAAGCTGACCCAAAACTGACCCCAATCATCCCAAAAGCTGACCCAAAACTGACCCAAATCACCCCAAACGGTGACCCCAAACTGACCCCAAAAACTGACCCAAATCATCCCCAAAACTGACCCAAAACTCTGCATTTATTTGGCACCATTTCCTCTCAGAAACAACATCTCCGCTTTAGTTGATTGCTAAAGCCATCATTTTAAAATCATCCCAGGAATCAAAAGGGACTGGAAAACACACACAAATCATTCCTGCACCCACCAAATCATTAGGAATTGGAACCCGATTCCCTCATCTCTCTCCTTGTGCTTCTTGGCTGGAAAACCTGATGATCCCCGCTGGCTATTTTTAGGCTGCTTTTCTTCCACAGCTCCTTTCCTCCCGGCTGAAACCTCCTGGCATATTCAGGGCTTACCTGGAGGGACGCCCCTCTGAGGTATTTCCTCTCGCGGCAATTCTGTGGGATGAAGAAGTAAAAAAAGCACGTCAAGAGCTCCTTCTCCCCCCTTCCCTCGCATACACCCTCCCAGTTTGCCCTTGGCAGCTCCATCCCCCCGGCACCCGCACCCGACGCTTCGGCTCCGCTGGGAAAGGGACAGCAAGTGCACAAGCAAGTCCAGTGCTGGGCAGGGGCTCCCTGGGGAACGGCACTTCAGTGCTTTAGTCCGTGGCCTTTCCTGCTGCCCTCCCTCCCGGAGGCAGAGGATGACCCGGCCCTTGTTTCTCCCACGCTCGCAGACCCAGGTCCTGCTCCTTTGGCCCCACTTTTCTTAGCAGACCCGGCATCCTTTTCCAGGGTCCCCAGGAAACTTCTGCACTTGACCCATTGCTAAGTGCAGAGCACAGGGCGAGGGAAGGACAAATTTCTCGGCACCCACCCCCTGGAATTTTCCTTCTCCGCAGCACGCTCCCGTTCCCGCTGTCTCTGGAGGTGCCCGCACGAGTCCTCCTTCTCCCAGCACCTCAGAGAATGTCCTCTTCACCCGGGTCCTGCTTACCGGCGTCCAACAAAACACGCTGACAACATTTTTCAGGATGCCAGTGGAGAGATATTAGAGCACACTGCACAGGGAAGCTGAGCCTGCCCCATCCCTGGAAGTGTTCCAGGCCGGGCTGGACGGGACTGGGAGCAACCGGGGACAGTGGAAGGTGGCCCTGCCCACGGAAGACAGGCTGGCCTTTGAAGGTCCCCTTCAAACCAAATCGCTCTGGGATTCCCCTCCAAAATCACTCCCAAAGAGACACAGCAATCAAAGCAGAGGGACTGCACTCCCAGCTTTTCTTACCTGCAGGCACACACAGCACAGCACAGCACGCTGGACATAAAAGCCACAGGGTTAGCCCTGCCAGAGGCGTCCGGCACACCCACGGCGACCGAAGGGAAAGAGGCAGCCTGGGAACACGGAGTAAAAGACACCTTAATTAGGACTACACTGAGCAATAGCCAGGTCATTCACACTGGACAGCTTCACTGTCCAGTCACACAAAAAGCACTCACCGAGGCCTCAGTTAGGATGGCTCCTGATGCTGACCAGGTGAACACCTCCGTTTGCCCCGGGGGGTCAAGAAGAACATCCCTGGGAAGAAGTCACCCCCAACAACAAAAAGGCAAAATTAGTGATGCATGGGGTCCTCTTCTGACTAGATTACCACCAGCATTCCATAGCAAATGCCACGACTATTCTGTTACAGACGAGAAAACCCTGTTCTCCCAAACAAACAGCCAGGAGATTTATGGGCACGCCTGAAAATTTCCTGTGAGGAACTTTTTGTAACTAAGGAGCAGGTGCTATCTTGAGTTGAAGGCATCAATTTGACAGACACTTAGTACAGCAAACTCTTCAGCAGAGCAATTAATTGCTGCCTATTTGAACAGCAGGGGAGAGAAAATGACGGTCGAAGGGAAGACAAGAAAAGCAGAACTGCAATCAGCAGCCTTTTCTTCCATCTATCCCACGATATCCATCTATCTAGTTTACCTGTTCTAATTCTATGCCCTTTTCTACATGAAACTTAGACCAAGGCTGAAAAAACAACTAGAAAACACGGAGAGAAGCTTTTTAGAATTTCACACGATTTTCCCAAACTGATCCCAGAAAAGCAGAACTCAGTAGAATCAGTACAGTCATCGCGCATGCGCGAGTTCGTCGCCATGTACCCTGGGCATACCACGTGATCGAAGCGCTTTTCGTTTTGCGCAGGCGCGAATTCCGTGCATGTTGCCATAACTTTCCGCGTGATTAAGTGCGTGGGTTTCGGCGATGCGCAGTTTTTATTTGCAGTGCCGCGGTTGGTCAGGAGGTGTCACCGACGAGTCGTTAAACACGCGCAGTGTTTCGCCTTCACGGTCAGGTAGCATCAGCCATTTCTCTTTTTACTGCTTTTGCCTTTCCTCTCACGAGGTTTCTTGGAGACTCGAGGGGGGATCAAACCAAATAAGAAGGACACTCAAACGGTTAAAGAGGTTTTGAACAACAAACGTTTAATTCTATTTGAAGGAGGGGAGAGAATCGGTATAGCTAAGGAACTATGACTAGTGCAGATGATAGATGATGATGTATTTCTACTAGTGAGTTCATCTACAAAACGCTTGTAGCCCAGATCAGATCTTTGATTTTCTACTATTTACCAGTAACACTTACGCTACAGAAGAAAAACGTAAAACAAAACACTCAAGAAGAACTTTCTTTTAAAACCAAGTAACTGGTAGCCCCACACAGCTGCTGTGACTATGGCAACCTTTGCTGTGAGCAAAAGTAGGTGGTGCCAGTGTGGAAGCGGCTTTAGGAGCCACTGCTGAAGGAAGTACTGCTTGTTCTGATCCTTGCAGCCTGCTTGACTTGCCTCTGTGCTGTGTCTTAAGACATAGTCCATGGAATCTAGGTTCAGTAGTATTTAGCTTGTACTGTCTCTTGGACACTGGAAGGGTTTTGCAGACTGACGCTTGCTGTCCCTTTAGCTGTCAGTGGCCTTTCTTGGTATTTGGCAGTCATGATGGGGCTGTTAACCCAGCTTTTCCAAGAGTTGTTTCAGTGTAGCTTTCGCTGTCTTGGGTGCCAGATTCCTGCCACAAAATATGCCCGTGTAACGTTGCTACGCAGCCAAAGGATCCTTCCCACACAGGCTTTTCTGCGTTGCACATTTACTTAGCCAGTCTCCACTCTGAAGAGAAGTCAGGGGTTCTTGACTGTTTATAGCCTTCATTTGGAGCCAGTTATTGTCTTTCTTAAGAGAATTATGACATAGTCAGAGGCTGAGCTTACCCTTAGAAACACACCATGACTGACAAGGCTATCTGTGGAGCATGTCCCATTTCCAGAGAGGATTCAATGACAGTTACTTGGGTTATAGGAAGACAGCTGGTGACAGCTGGCAAGTTTATCCTTTTATTGTCGTGGCTGTCAATGCTGCTGTTCTTCCTTTAGTTCCATTTCTATGCACATCAGTTCTGCAGCCGTGCTGATTAAGTGCAGAGGATGAATTGTTATTTCAGCCTCTTAGAGATCCTAGTCCCATTAATGGTCTAGCTGGCAAGAGGAGGGTTTGTTGGGGGGGCTGTTATCTTTTCCCTTCACACTTTTGTCATTTGATTGATAAGAGGTAATTCTTCAGCTCAGTTTTCACTCCTGATGCTACAGTGTCATGTTTACTAGGGAAAGATGCAAGTTAACAACTCTACATTGCATTCAGCTCTCAGGAGTAGTTTCCCATCTGTCCATCTGTGGCACAAAATTAGAAAGCAGTCCTTCCAGCGTGCAACTCTGCCCTGCCTTTCCCCCAGCCAAGTTATTCAGTCCACAGATTGTTAATTTTGTCATCTTCTCTTCTTCCCAACCAACAAAATACATGTGAAAAGAAACTAGCTGCAGGCTATAAAAGTGTAACTGCAAGTACTGACTGAAAGCGGAGCTGAGCTTCCTGGTCTTTTCACAGCTTTCTTGCCAAACTCTCTGGCTTCCCTGGATCTCAATTCTCTATGGGAGAAGTAACCTGCTAAAAGCCACACAGAAAGATTAGCTAACAAGGGCAGAGTAGCCTTCCCTACCCTCAGCTGCACGTTTTATTTACTCCTCCAAGCTGCAACTAATATTGCAGATTTTTTTTGCTCCTGCTGTAACACAGCCCCTGTAGGTCATAAATCACTGTGGGCATCGTCACAGAACAACCTTGCTGGCCCTGTTATTGTTATTAGGTCTAGAAAGATGAGTTGCTGACCTTTACCAAGTGCTATTTCTGTTGACTGCTAAAAACCTTCAGAGCAAAGTTGCGTGTTTCTTAGTTGTGCGAGCCAGACTCTTTAACTGCCTGCGAGCTTTCTGAATCTTAGTGAAGGAATCTGTGAAGACAGCCTCAGTTATTTCAAAGGGGAGCCTAGTTTACTCTGCATATACTCTAAGGAAAGGTAAGCTTCAGGCCCTGACTGCTGGTACCAAGTGCTACTGCTTAATCACATTCACATAGCTTGTGGTTTGCTTGTAACAGGAGAGCAAACTCCCGTGTAGGAGGAGGCATGTACTGCTGCCCACCACACAGACTGCCCCACTCTTGGTGTGGGCAGCCCAGTGCTGGTCTATGCTCTAAGAAGCTCATTTGGAGTACAGTAGCAGGGTTGGAAACACAGCATCATATACTCCACTGATTTCAGGATAACAGTTGTCAAATGCCTGCTATTCTGCTCGGCATCTCAACTCTTCTGGGTATTACCTGCAAAGCTAATTTTAAGCAAAGCTTCCAAGCTGTACCAAGCAGTACAGGATACAGGTAAAAGAACTGCCAGTTCCACAGTTGTGCAAAGTATGGAAGAAAACACCACCTTTCTAAATGCATCATAAGGGATGGTGGTAGGGTGACTCTGGAAAGATTTGATGTTGATGTTCATGGGAAAGTTGAAAACCAGAAGCATACGAAAGGTCCCTGTATTTTCTCTTATTTTAGGGTGAAGGATGACAAAGTTGTATTACTTTAATTCCATCGAGGAAGTCTTAAATATTTTTTTGCTAAGGGACGTATCTTAGGGCAGCGAGGGACATGCATGCATAGGTGCACTGCTCCAGCTTCCTCCTCGCACAGCGTTTGTCCTCCTCAGGACAAACGCTGAAACAGCAGAGAGGCAAAGCTCCGTCCCGATGCTAGAAAACTGAATGGGAACTGTATGAAGCCGAGTTCTCATCCAGCAGTTTAATCACTGGTGCTGTACACAGATCGCCTCAGAAAATGCCTCTGTTTCCATCCTGTCTGTAAAGAAAGGAAAAAAATCCCTTAGCTTTCTTGACAAATTTAGTGATGTACTCTGCTCACAGTAAGAAGTACATGTATCTAAGAAATGGGTTATGAACTTGGTTCTATATAAAAGGAGTTGAAGCAAGGTCATGGGTAAGCACACTGCCACTCTACACATCCCCATGTTCATTGCTCTCTGATAATGAATAACAGTTGGGATAAAAGGTTTTTGATGAAGCAAAACACAAATGTTTTTCTCTGCCTCTTTTTGTGAATGTTCACGTAAGCCTAGATACAGATGACCTTCCTTTGTTACTCATTTATTGCCCTGTGAGAGAGAAAAAAAATGCAGTATTTGGTATGTGCAATCTTCAAAATCAAGACCGAGGCCTGCAATCTGATTTTAGAGACACAACTGTAAATAACAAGTAACTCTGAAGGAACTGATAGAATAATTCCACATTAATGCTGATATTATAGCTGAGACTGGGATTTGCCGTTTATCTTTTAAATTACCAGCATAGCATATGCATATTTACCTTGATTAGGAGCTTCAGATCATTCCTTCCATTGTGTTTAATGTGAATGTGCAAGGTCTAGGTTCTATCTGTGGTAGAAGTCTTTCCCAGCCTTTCAGAAATTGTACTGCAAACATTACAATGGGCTCATCACCCACCATTATCAGACAGGAAAGCCATTATCGAGCCCTGGTCTGATAAATGGTCAAAGAGCCCTGAAGAATTCCATAATGGAATGCAGAGTGAGATAGTGGGGTACCTAGTGGAAGAGGAATGAGCAAGAACAGCCTGATACTGGTCTCTTGACATTCCTGAAAAATCTCTAGATGCTTAGAATGAAGACAAAAACAGACTCCAATTAGCCATTTTGGGAACACTTTAGCTGGAGTTTTGTATGCCTTTTGGCAACTCCGAAGAGGAAGAACACCAGCCATGAAAGCCATCCAGCAGTGCCCCAGCCTGATGACGTCACGATGCTATAACCGTGGAGCTGCTGCCTTCCCATAGTGTTGGGCAACCCTGCTCCTTTCAAATGCAAACCCCAAAGGTGAATTACTGCAGTAGCAAGTTTTCATCTTCCCTTTGAAAGATTTGCTTGTGAGACCTTTAGCCTGGGTCACTCTCACAGTGCACCAGATTTCCATGAGACTCACAGTTACTTCTCGCTTTTGCCCACCTCTGTCTCAGTCTTGGAATTTCAAGCGGTGTCACCTCTGGCCCCCAGACTGGGTTAGCTGAATGCTGTGGAAAATAATAAGCCACAATTTAAGATGCTGTGCATGATAAAGCAGGTGCTACAGAGGAGATGTGATTAAGAAACTGGTTTGAGTGAAGTGACTGTAGACTTTTTCCACTTCTGTAACAGAGCACTTGGAGACAGGTGCTGACAAAAAATGTCCCATTGCTGAGGTCTTCCCCTTGGCTTGTGTAAGCTGGAGCTAGGCCAGAGTATCAGATTGCTTTATGCCATGAAAAGCTAGAACTCTGATCTGGAAAGAATTGGAACTGCCCATGGAATGCTGTTAGACACATGATCAGATAGCATTTGCTAAGGAGAGGATGATTGGGCCTCAGATACCCGAGATCAGCAGTGAGAAAACAAAGTTTGCAGCCATGGCAGCGACTGTTGTCTCTTAAATGTTACCCTCTACAGGGCTTGGCATCCTGAGGTGTAACGGAGACTGTTAGTCCTTCTTGTGGTGAGTGAACAGGGCCAAAGGAGCTGAAATACCTTGCACAAATCAGGGAATGACTGCTCCTATTGCTGACTGTGGGTATCTGTGATTGCACGTACATCTGCGGACTCACGCCTCGTGCAGGCACCCTCTTACCTTCTGCCTCAGTGTTGTGAAAATTCCTGGTGCCAAGCAAGAATGACACAGAAAATTTGCCTGTCAGTTATATGAAACAATTGAGGCTTCTTGGCTCTTAGCCCACATGGAGCAATTGTTATCTTCAGCTTTTTTCAATAAGCTTTGCAGATTAGAACAAATGACCAAGATTAATATTCTGTGAAAAAGTATAAGCTTTCCTTAGTAATTAAAAAATATTGTAAAAATGGAAGTATTTTCCATGCAGGGTGGAATATCTTCCAAAGAATTACAGTATTAGTACCATTAGCTAATAGCCGTGAGCTGTCAACTTTAATATTCACACACACATATATATTATTTCTAGATATGGTTGCATATGTAAAGAAATTACCTATGTGCTAGTGGTAATTGAATTCTGTTATTATTGCTTTAGGGTTTTACACATAGTGACTTAAACCCTTTCCAACCTGGAGGTGGGGTTAAAAGTTGAGGCAGAACTTCTCCAACTTTCCCTTCTCATTCTAGATTTACAGGTTCAGCTACTTGCTGCTGCAAGAGAACAACTGCTGACAACTGTTAAATGATGACTCCTTTCTGTAAGAAAGTGACTGTAATGACTGTAAGAAAGCAGTAATTGTGCTATAAGACATTGGCAATTATCTACAGCAGTCTTTCGGTGCTGTAAAATAGGTCCCACAGAAGAGCTTGGCATAAAGGGAGGGAAAGGAAGAAGGAATGCATACAGTGGTCCTGGAAAAAAAAAGTAAGATATAAAGTAGTATTTAAAGTTAGCAGTAGCTTAGATAAATGGGTAAATACTACATACAAACACACACACATACAAATATATACAGGGGAGTATAAGTTTGTACACTGAAAAACTATCAAGTGCAGAAATCTTTAAATTACAGTGTGCATCTTTTGTCCTGCTTAACTCCTGGAAGCTTGTGACACGGACCAGCAGGGATAATCTCTGTAGTGTTCTGAAAACATCTGGGAGACTAGGATGCTGCTAAATGTGTCTGTAAGTGAATTGGTTTTGCATATGAATGCAGTGTTCCTGAGAGAAAGAGGCACTGGTTCAGTAATATGGTAAATCTTGTATGGCACCCAAGAATTTTTAGCTACCTGACATAAAGTGCTGACACACAGACAGGCTAACTCATGGTGCACATTTGCTTAAAATATCTTCCAGATTCCCTCTTTCTGTGGGGCTTTTTTGTCTTGTGCTGCAGTAAAGAACCCACCCGAGAGATTCTGCTCTGGCTGGTTTTCCACAAATATCACCCGCGCTTCGGGCCGTGTCGCCCCCGTGGCCCCGCCTGCAGACCACCGGCCCTCTCAGGTCTTCAAGTCCTTGGGCAGCTGTGAACGAGCCCGTGCCCCCTTCTCCCTCCTTCTTCCACGGTTGCCTCCTGAAGTTACATCTGCCTGTCTGAGCGGGTGAGCGCTGAGCGAGGCAGCCGTCCCGCCCGCGGCCGCCGCCGGGCGCGTCCTGTGCCCCTCGGAGCTCCTCCTGCCGGGGCCGCGGAGGGGGCCGGGCGTAGGGCCGGGCTTGGGGCCACCGAGAGGCACGGGGGGAAGAGAGGCGGCGGCGGCGACGAGTGGGGAGGAGAGTGGGCGTGTGACGCCGGCGGTTCCCGAGCGCCCGCGGGTGCCGAGTCCCCCCGCCTCCCTGGCCGCGCAGCCTGCGGACACCATGGCCGGCGAGACCGAGGATCCGAACGGCCGGGAGACGCAGACCGTCTGCGACGCCCTGGAGCGCTACGAGGACACGCTGCGGGGCGCTGTCCGGGAGATCCATGTGGACATCCAGCTGTTCAAGCAGGGGGTAGGGCGGCAGGTGGAGGAGGTGCTGCGCCTCGCCAGCCCCCTGGCACACACGGTCTCGGAGCTGCAGCAGGAGAACCGGCGCCTGCGGGCGCAGCTGGAGCGCCTGTCTCGGCAGGTGGAGGCCCTGGGCCGGTCGGCGGGGCTGCCGCAGGAGTGGGCGGACGAGGCGGTGGAGAGCCCCCAGGCCGCGGGGGCCGGCTCTCCGGGGCAGGGTTCGGCCGACGGCGCGTTCGCCAGCCATGCCAAGCCAGCGGTCCCTGGCCGGAGCCAAGTAAGTGGTCACTGCCAAGGAGGCGGCGGGAGGAAGGGAGGGCCAAGAGGGTACACGGATCATGCCAGATTCTGCATTGGCACGGGAGAGCGTTTAGGGACACAGGGTTCCTCTTTTGCAGTGCAGTGTCAGTGGGATTTTGGGAGGTGCTCTGGGAAATGGTCTTGGCCGTGATACCATATGGAGACTTACCTGATTGTGGCACAGTTTGGCCAAACTGGGATCTTGGTTAGAGTGGTAGTAACCTGTCAGTTCAATGTGGTTAGAAGTAAGAAGAGAAGATGGGGCAGTCTCACCTGTCAGTATACATATGTACGTGAATATTTGCGTATCCTTTCTGGACTCAGAGGGATCTGTGTGCCAGCAATACAGTTTGCCAGTTGGTGAGCTCACAAAGCACAATAGCATATAGCAAGCAGTAACGTGAACAAGGCTGTGCCCCCACCCATTCTCCCTCCCTCCACCGCTGCCTCCTGGGGTTACATCTGTGCCTCTGAAGGGGTGTGCACTGAGCGAGGCAGCCCCGGCAGCCGTGCATCCTAAAGCAGCATCCTGCAGTGAGACAGTTTTGTTTTACAGCCATTGTCCCAGACTGCTGTAGCTTGTCCCTGGCAGCCTCACACAAGCTGTCATGGTCTCCATGACCTAAACTTGCACAAACGTACACATTCCTGCCAGTGATAAAAATTCCTCCGGTGTAGTGGAGCATTGTAACTTGGGGCATAGAAATACCACTTAGTGGGAAGCTCATCTGGTACTGCAATGTTTTATGTCATACTTTTTCTATGTGTCTGTCTCTGCGGGAAGAGTTGAGAGCTCCTATGCAATCCTTGATGCCAGGAGGGGGCAGCCAAACGGTACATTGTGATTGAGTCACATAAAACTGGAGTACTAGAATCTTGGCTTTCACAGATGACAGCCTATTTTATGTAATCTTGATTAAGCCACGTCTTAAGGAGTTTTTAAGACTGCTGAAGCTTAAAAAAAATGGTCTGTGGTCTATCTAGGCTTGGGGTTGAAAATGAAAAGCTTGGAAATTAAATTCACTAAACTTGGTAGGAACAAGCAGAGTCTGTATTGCATTCCAGCCCTGTTAATTCCTACTGACTTACAAATGCGGGCATAGGGTTTCCCACATCTGGGCAATTGAAAAGGTAAAGCTGCTGCTTGATACGTTCTTCCAACATAATTGTAGCAAATGCAGCCTTTTGCCCCATGTGACAAAGGTAAGCAGCACACCTACAACTTTTTGTTCCGGGGAGCCATCTACATCCCTTGTTTGTATTTCAAGGAACAGAAGTGAGCTGAATGACATGAAAGGGACAAGGGATTGTGACCCCTCACACCATTCCACCTGCTCCATCACCACTGTCTGCATTGCAGTGTGTCGGTTTTCACAGTCTGTGAAAAGTCTTGCATCAGTGTTACGGCAATGTCCAGCTTCGAGTATCGGTCTGCCTTAAAGCACAGTCTGAGGTTCTGTTTGGATTGGAACCTTCCTGTTTTGCTTTGAGAGTTCAGGGAAAATCACTTAAGTACTGACGGTTCTTCAGTGCCCTCCCAACAATTTAGGTTGGAGAAGTTCCCAAGCTGGCATAGCTGACCGAGAGGGAATGTCAGTACTGAGACCTATGGGAGGTGCAGCTAGAGCCATACAAGCCAAACGCGTGCAGTGAAAACGTAATTTTGTGGATCAGGCTCTGATGTGGCTGTGCTGAATTGGTGAAAGAGCAAGCCTTGGTCGCTTGCTCTTGGTCACCCAGATTCTCTGTAATGAACAGTGTTCCTTCAGTTGCTTGCAGTTTCTGGTTATATGATCAAAGCATTTGAAACAGAGTACCATAAATGGCACTATGTATGTTTCCATATTTCCAGATATTCCCATGTTTCAAGATAAACAAGTACCTGTGATAAAATTGGTGACACCTCTAGTCTTAGAAAATACTTCTGTAAGTATGAGATATAAGAAGCAAGTAATACTGACCTGGGAATAGTAGCAAATCAAATGTGTCTTCTGCTTCTGAAAAGATTTATTGGTCGAATTCCTTTTTACTGTGTGGTTGATGCAGCATTAATTGGATACCAGAGATTCTGAGTATCTTCAGTGTCTGAAACATTATTTTCTAATATTGCTAGATTATTTTTCAAAGTAATTTAGTTTAAAAAAAAGTGAATCCAGGGAGTTCCAAGCATAGTTCAGAAGTAAGGACACAAATATCCTTTTAATTCTAATCTGGGCAATTTCTACTATGGTGTCCTTGAAAGCTGCTATACAACAGTTTAAATGCTGGTTTAGGTGGAATTTTAAATGGCCATTAGCCACTCTGATTTGGAGGTGAGTCTTTCTGTTATTTTGATACCAAACCTTAATTTGGCTCTCTAACCAGGCCAGAATCTGAGAGTTGCTTTCACAAATGTGGAAAATAAGGGATGTTTGAAGAATTAATTTCAGATTGGGATCCTGGAGCCATAGCTGCACTACTGAGAATTTAGAAAAGAAAAGGTTTGATCTTTTTTTTTTTTTTTTTTTTTTGGTTGATCAGATTTTGTATTTTGGCAGAGCTTTAAACTTATGATATTTCCATAGTTTTTGTGGTTGAGCATGGTGCCTTTGTTAACAGGGAGGACTGAAAATACTGTAAGGGTGTTCTGTTTTAATACTGTCAGAAGAGTTTCTGTACAATGAGGGCAGACTGCTGGCAGAGAATCTGCCTGCATTGGTCACAGCAGCAGAGCGATGAATAGCTGACTATGAACACCTTATGAAGGTCGAATCAAGTATTACCCATTGGTATCTCTCTGTGGTGACCTGATGGCACCCAATAGTTAGTCAGCCTGGGAGTAACTGCATGAGACATGATGACCTGGGTAGATATAATGAACATTATTAATGATATAATTTATGTGTTCTTGCTTGTAGATGCTGCTTCTTGGGAGCTACGTTTTTTTAACTGAAGTAATCACGTGTCTGTGAAGCAGTTTCTTCTTTCTTTAGTTACTGCAGCCAAAAAAATCACATATTTCCTCACGGTGTTTTGCATGCCTCCCCCAAACAAACAAACAAAACCACTAAAAAACCTCATACCAAACCACCAAAAAAAATTCTTGGCTGAGTTTTCTGGAATTATACTGGCAGATGTTATTGGGAAAATTGATGCTTTTTTCAGAAAAAAGGTATCGTTACAGAAATTACAGATTATAATACAGCTGTAAAGTTCTAGGATTGTATTTACTTTATGTATTGCTTTTACAATGTCTTTTCATAATGTACTTTTTTTCTGCAGCAAATGGAAAAAAATTGCAGAGCATTGTTTCCTGCAATCTCAGTCATTTTCTCCATTATTGTGCAGAGTCTTCTGTTTATCATCTTCAGAGTGGATGGTGATACCTTTATCTATCAAAAGATAACACCTTGTAGGTACATGGGGTCTGTGAGGACAAGTGTGCCAAGACTGATACAAGTCCTGCATTGCCAGTGCTCCATTTGCAGCCTTGGCTCTTGGGGTTAGGTGATTGTTCCTTTCTTGTATTGTAGTCACTGACACAAGGAAGGCCTGTTCTTGGCAGATGTTTCTAGGTATTCTTCTCACTTTTGCTGCTGTTTGAAATTTAGCTGTCATGTCTGTTGTCTGTTCTGACAGAGTGTGGACCTGGATGACCACCACAAACCCGAGTTTAGAAGAGTTTTTAGTTCTTCCATCATTGAAAATGGATGTCGGTCTTCATCAGGTAGGAACAGGGCATGAAATGACGTAGCACTACTTGTAAAATACCTGATTCTGGCAGGCGTAGAGCAGGTCTCACATGTTGGGAGTGTTAGAATCCACTATGGTTTCAACATGGATATTGTCCTGTGGCACCAATACTTTACTTCCTAATTAGGAGTTTAATTTTTAAACTTTAACTTAATTGTTAAACATGCACTATAGTGTTTCATGAACTAGAGGCTATTACTGTCACATTATGTTGGACACTAGTGGTAGTAAGGCTTGCTATTCTGGGTGCCATTGTAGCTTTGCATCCCAAAACATCTCGCAAATTACCTGTCCGCTTCCATCATCTTTCAGTTGAGGAAGGACTTACTGTCTGCATTTTAGAGAAAACTGAGTTATACAGTGTTTCATAAAACCATGAAAAGAATAAACATGCTGCCTCCTAACCCAGGGCAGGAGATGGGGAGTGAGAGCTGCACAGAGGAACAGGAGTAGCTTACCAAATGCAGATACTTGTGTATTAATGATCTAAAGACATTGTTCCTGCTGAGATTCATGTAGAACAAGTACGATCACTGCAAGGATCACTTGCACTAGGGTTGTTTCTGCAGCATAAGTGGTACAATGTTCCACAGGGAGAACAAGGTGGGATAATTTCAAGGACTTGTAAAATAAAGTTGTTGCATGGAAATCGGTTTGTAACTTGTTACAAATCTACAAACAAATTTACTTCGTCTCTCCTTTTTTTTTTTTATTCAGGAAGTCAGGCGAAAGTCTGCCATGAACTGACCTCTTTTCAGATGTCAGACTCCTCTTCCCCTGAAGCCCATGCCCCTGCAGTCACCCTACAGATGCCTCACCTTCCTGTTACTGCAGTAACCAGGACATCTGAGAAGTTTTCAGGAGAAAACATCTGTTCAACAGGAACAACTAATGCATCTGCTGGCCTGCTGGGACAGAGCAAGAGCAAAAATGCAATGGCAGTAAAAACTTCCAACCAGCCAGGTAAAAGAGACAAAAATAACTTGCTGAAGGTGCATCCCATTTCCTTACTTCAACTGGTGCTGTGAGTATTGTCCTGTGACCTAGTGGTAATTCTGAAACCTTGCTTCTATGGCTATGTATCCCATTGTGAGACACTCCGGTTTGGAATATTGTGGGTCCTAGCTGGAGCTTTAGGCTCTAATGTCGCATCTGCTGAGAATTTTTGCTGCCTAATATATTTGAGTTCTTAGTGAAGCCTATCTTCTAACCCAGTTACTAAATTCAGTAAGTTACTGAATCTCTTCAACACGCCCAGCTGTTTTGATGAAATTTACAGGAGCTTTTAGTGCTTTGAGACCTGAGGTCCCTTGAGAAGTTAGGCAGATATTTATTTGGCTAACAGGTTCCAATAGTCACTTGGAGGAAGAAATGACTGACAGCAGTCTGACACATATACACAAGTCAGAGTGACTGCAGAATCTCATTTATACCTAAATTGAGGGTTTTAAAAAAAAACAACATATTGAAGTCAATCATCCTTTAGCTGTGACACTTAGAAATTGGACTATTTATGTGGGTCAGAAATTACAGAGGGAAACCAGATAGAATTGCCAGCAAGAGATAGGGATTATTTGCAGATTGTTCTTTTAACTTTTATCTTATTAAAGCTGAGAATGTAGCAAAACTTTCCTTTGTCTTTTTTTTCTGCTGATACAGTGAAGGACTGGAATTCAGTTACGGTGAGAACAGTGGACTCATCTGCCACTGGAGGTGAGTGTTCTATCAATATGCCCTTATGCAACACAAATTGAGAGGGATTCCATGCTCTTTGTCTGGGGGTTCGAGATCTGAGCATGTAGTTCTGATTAGTAGGTGCATGGTAATATTAAAATTGCTGACAAGTCTGTGTGCAGACTCATGGAATCATGAAAACTTGTTCCACTGTGTCAGATTCTCAGTCAGTGAGAAGTGAGGGGTACTCATCCTTATTTGTATGTGGATGTACACGGGTACTGTTAGACAATCTCTGCACTAGAAACCATAGGTACGAGAAAAGTGTGGCAGACAGACAGTTTGTGCAGTCAGGATTTGAGCTGATCAGTTGAAAACTGACTGTACACAAGGTAAAGGCAGGTGGAAAACAGTGTGCCCATATTGAAGCAAATTCCTTTGAGCAGGATAGAATTGAGTAGTCTCCTTTGTAATATGAATGTGTCAAAGGACATAATGCCTTAAGAATTTCTGATTTCAGTTGAAGTAGATGAGTTGAGCTCTATCCAAAAGTACTTCTGATTGATGTCACTGAACTGTTACTGTCTGCACGATGTGATGGCATTTCACAGTGGTCTCAAGTGTTGGTTTATTTAACAAAAGATGTAGCCTGTCCAGAATAGGCATCACAGTCTCCTTATCTTAAAGCGTTTGAGATTTGCATAAATATCTGGCAATTGTTAGTGGTCATGAATTTGTCACGTCTATGTGCTGGCATTTACCAGTGTGTTTTACATGAGAAATGTAGTTGATCTGGATCCCTTCTGTAAGAAGTGGGGAGAGTTCAGCTTTTCCAGAGAGTAATTTGGACAGTGATCAGGCTGGATTGCTTCTAAGATGCCAGTCCTTCTTCTTTGTGTATAGAAGGAGCCTTAAAGAAATAAATTGCTAGCTTATGCAACAAATTTTGGCTTCAGTGTGTAAAACTGGGGGAGACACTCCATTTTTCTGCATTTGTAGGGTACAGCTGGAGTCCGGAGCTGGGCTCTAAGTGGCAAAGTACAAAAGGTAGAAGCTCAGAGGTGGAGGGAGGAAGATGCAAAGTTGTTTTTAAGCCACCTTTACAACTTTTGAATCTATTCTACCTTACAGACTAAAATGTTTCCTGGTAGAAATTAGGTAATTTAAATTATGCTCTCAATTATGTCAGACTCCCCAGAACTCCCTATGTCTGCCAGAATGACTTTTGCAAGGTGAGCTGTAGCATCTTTCCTTTTAACTGAAACATCCATGCCCTCCTCTGAGTTCTGGCCAAGGCCCTGAAATGATCTGACCTTCCCAGTGCGGTTTTATCAAAGGCATCCTCTCAGGGTCCTTTCTGGTATGTTTACACTATCTGCACTGCAGTACAACAATTTACAGAGAAATTGAACCCCTGGGGAAAACCCCTCCCCAGCTTATTAGTTCATATGGAAGTTAGAGGCCTGCAGCTTTTCAGTGTGGTGAGTAAAAATCAATGTGTGTGTATCTATCAGGAAATTATTTGAAAGCACACCAGGGAAGTTTCTGCCATAATGCATCTTGTCTCTTCTGCTTTTATATAGAGAATGCCACTTCTGTCACTAAATCTGTCTCAGCTGTGAGCTATGGGATACAGAGTGGAACCAAAACTGGTGAAAGGTACGTATTTCTCATGACATTTCGTTAGGCCGTTGTGGTCAATATAGTCTCAAGGGACAGGTGTTCCGCTGGCTTGGAGAACAGGTTAGTCCCAGATGCTGTATTTAACCATTGGAAGTATAATTGTACATTAACGTACTTGCCCCATTGTCCTACATTAACCTAGGTAATAGTTTTAATGTGTGTACTATGTCCATCAACATGTAAACAGGCATATTCCTCTTAACCACTCTTCTACTTTCAGGGAATAACCGATCAATGACTACTGGAATAATCACACTATCTGTACTAAAACCATCCTACTGATGTACATAATAGTTTTCATTCAACACAGCAGCACTTGTGTACATACCCTGAGTCTTCTCAGGTGAAACATAGCAGGTGTATCTATTGATCGTACTTCTCATGGAAAATCAGCAACCTGCTGTATATATGATCCTGTATGTCTAGGTTCAGGACCATTCATTCCCCCTAAATCTGTTGCACAACTTGCCCTTTTGTGCCTTTGATTCCTCTATCAGACCCGTATCTTGGTTAATCCTAACACCTTTCTTTTCACGACACATCCGGTAGGCTGTACATCAACATCTCGCCCATGATCACAGCACTGCATAACCTTAGCACTTTTGGCTCTTTTCTTTAGGGGGCTTCTTCAGGCTGCCCCACCAGTGTACTGAAGAACAGATGAGTTCCTGGTGCTGTATTATAAGCCTGTCAAAGGCTGTGAGCTTTCCTGTGGGCTAAGTGGAACAGAGATGAGAAAGGATAAGATTTTGTAGAGCAGTTTCAAGTAGACCTAATTGTGGATTTCCACATTGTCACAGTCTTAATCAGGAAGACTCTCAGTGCCTGCCAGTAGTGGATTTTTGTTTGGAGGAAGAAGTTGTCAGGTCCTTCGAAAACACTTTTAAAAATACTCAGCTGTGTAGAAATTTGTACATTGGACTTAATTTTGGAAACCAACATATGACTGCCATCAAATATCCTTGGTTTGGCTAGCCTAGAGTTTAATTTGTAGATAAGTGCCTTGCTGAGGACTACTACACATTCCTTATTAATTCAGAGTTGCAGTTGCTTAGTATAGGATTACATGGTATCACAATTACTCCTGGCATATCCAGGCATCCTCAGCATGCAAATTATCCATAGAGAAAAATGGAAGAGCAGCCAGTTTAAATCTTTTCAATTGGGCTTGCATCTACCTTGAAAAAAATCCCAAATTAGGCATTACATTTCTTTTGAGGTGGTTCCAAAATCAGCACTTCCATATCTGAATCATATGCTGAGCACACAAGAGAACTTGGTGTCATCTCTGACCTCAGTCTGTATCAGAAATTAACTAGTGACACTGATGTCTTTGCTCTTTGCCTGTTTCCTCGTCTCTGTCATAGGGAACATTTCCAAGTGGGATGTGTGACTTACTTTGTTAATGCTGATGAAGCAGTTTAGGGCTCAAATTAATTAGAATATAATCCTATATTTCTCGATGAAATTACTGGCTTGCAGTCAGTGAAGCAACAGTGACATGAGCTTAGAATTCTTGCACTATAAGTAAAAATTTCAAAACTACTTCCTGATTTACCCTTCAAGTTCCATTTTTAAAATGTGACTTACTCTCCAGGAAATTTCCAGTTGGAAATTAAAGGGATTTAGTGCTCCTGTGTGGCCACAACTTCTATTTTTCTTTTCTTTTTCTTTTTTTTCTTAAAGCTGTTTTAATTGTTGTTCTGCTCAGTAGTACAAGGTGCTTGTGACTTGTCCAACTGTGTCTTATTTGTAATAGTACCTCAGAATCTTCTATACTTAAGTGCTGTTGTGTGTCAATAAAAATTTTACTTTTATTAAAAATGCTTTTGACTCATTCAGGTCCTCTTGAAATGACTCTTTTGGGAAGTTTAGAGTAGGCAGTAGTTGAACCTTTGTGCTGACTCCTGGCACTGCAGAGAGTTACTCTTTTGTTTAGCCACATCCTTTTCATGTTCTGTTTCTCCAGTGCCGCTGATGGTTACTGTGAAGTGACCCCCAGCTCTCGCTCCTCTCCTCCCACTGTGCATCGCCCAGCTGAAAGGAGACGGGAACTGGTGCGGTCTCAGACGCTCCCACGGACTTCAGGAACTCAGGCCAGGAAAGCACTTCTTGAGAAATTTGAACGTAATGATGCAAAGTACGTCACACTCCTTGTCTCTAGAATGGTTTGTTAATGGGAAACTGATTTGTTGATTAATACCAGCAGAGTACAGCTGGGTGGGAGGACTCTCTCAATGTAGGATTTTGAGCTAAGGGACAATACAAGGTCACATAAAGCTTCGCTGACTTCACAGACTGAGCTCTGGAAATTCACAGCTACAGATTCCTCTGGCTTTGGAGTTGTTCAGCTGAAGAAGCGGGTGCCTTTTTTCAGGAAAGAGTTCTGTGACAGCTGCCTTCTCCATCATTATAAAGAGGCTGGGACTATAGTGACTTCTGTTGCCATTCATCGAGGACCAGAAGTATGGACTCTTCTTTATGCATCATGATGGGAGTATGATATAAATAGAAGAGGGCCTGGAATCCTGGCTTTAGTGAAATAAAAATTAGTTTTTCTTGCAGGAACAACAAGTCGAAGTTTCAGCAACATGTTTCTCAAATATCACCTGAACAGGGGCTGACCTGGGCAAGGTTGCATAGATGTTCCTGACAAGTAGGTTTAAGTTTTTCTAGAATGTAACTTATTCTGGTCTCTGTTAATTTTCAGAGGAAAAGGAGAATCCAGAGCTAAGCTGAAGAGGTCGCTGAGTTTTGGGGTTGCCAGCGCTAGCAGCATTAAACAAATTCTGTTAGACTGGTGTCGCTCAAAAACCATAGGATACAAGGTGAAGATATGCCAGCACTTTCAGCTCTCTCTTTTTTTCAGAACAATTTGCCAAAAACATATACTCAAAAAGTGAACGTAAAATATGTTACACAATGAGTTAACTTCCTCAGGGTCATCCATTTTTGCTTGGGTAACGCAAACATGGTTTGCATGGGCAGCACTTCAAGGCAGGGATTGCATGAGTGAGATTCTGTATGTCTATTAAAGCAATGCATTAGTGTTTTTCTGAAAGCCTACATTTTTGTGCTTGTGGACATAGACTTCAGTATACACTCACACTTTTTTTTTTTCTTAGTTGCAGGCTGTGTTTTTTGCGTTCTCATTATATATGGAAAGTTCTGAATAACATTTTGCCAGTATATGGAGACTATGGCCATTTTGCTATACAGCTGACCAAAGTACTCTCTATTACCAGTAAATAAGGGAATTTGTAGTAAATGGTTGAGTTTGAATCACACCATGAGCAAATTTTTATGAGGTAACATCAGTGTAACTAAAATAATACAACGGTTGAGATTTTATTCATTTTACTTGGCCTTAAACTGCAATTGCCAAAGCAATTTCCAGGTGAAATAGATTTTTTTTTCTAGGTTTATTTGTGTGTGTAGTATGTTCTTCAACATTACTATAAAAGGTTGCATAATTATTGCTGAACTGTACGTTATACTATACATAAGCAGAACTAATGAAAATTACTGTTAATTGCTTACCAGAAAAGCTGGGGCTTCGGTTTTATGATGGGAAAGCAGCATGAGACGAGCACAAATATGTTTCTTTTCACTGTGGCAGTTGAAAGTAACAATAAGAATTTGTTTTAAAAATCAGTTTTTGCAGTAGGTGTAATTCTTCCCATATTTCTGCCTATTCGTGTGTAAACAGGCATTGAATTGGGCAAAGCAAGCAAGCATAGTCCTTGTCTAGCATTATTCACAGCCACAAAATGAACTGTTCTTCAGTTATAAATCCTGGTGCACTGGGCCTGCTCCAGAGCTCACTGATGTTGACAACATTCTTCACAGTATTTTCAGTGGGCTTTGAATCAGGGGCCTTGACTGTGTGTCTGCTTTGCATCTGGATATTTCAGGCAAAAGGCTTTCATTGCTAAGTGCTCTGGTTTTTTTTCCCAGAATACCAATAATGCAGTGGATAGGGATGAAAAATATAAAGCCTGTACTGTGTTGCTTTTGTTAGTGGGAGAGAAGAATAGAAAATGGCACTGAGCAGAAGCAGCTGCTCTTATTTGTTCCCCCGTGCACTATTAACGTGTTTGGTTTTTTCATCATGACAGCACATTGATCTCCAGAACTTCTCCTCAAGCTGGAATGATGGGATGGCATTCTGCGCTCTTGTGCATTCTTTCTTTCCTGAAGCTTTTGATTATAATAAGCTTGACCCAGCTAATCGCAAGCAGAACTTTGAGCTGGCCTTCACCATGGCTGAGTGAGTACCACATTAGCTCTCTGTGAAATGCTTCCAGTTCAAGTCTAATGCAGTGGGCAACAGTGAAGAGTTTAATTACTGTTCTTGTAGAACCTATATCACTAGCTTGTATGTGTCATGCCAAAAAGGATAGAGAAATGCACAGAAGAAACATAGAATGTGTGGGAGACTTCACCTCTATGCATTACTTTGGTTGAACAAGAATGAAGGTTGAATTCGGGGTAGGTAGAGATCAAGGCTGAGAGCTTCTCAATGTCTTGACCAGGTGACTGCACTTCTGAAAAGGGACAGAGCTAATACCCTCAGACACATTGTCCTGTTTCTTTTTGATACTGTATAGCATCAAATGATAACTTGTTTGTTAAAGTCATTGAGTGCTAACTTGTCAGTCAGAAATAGTAACTTTCTTGAGCTAGTATCAACATGAGTCTTAGAGTAAGAACATCTGTATACCGCTGGGTTTGGTACGTTTTTTCCAAATACTAACAGGCAGTGAGAATACGTGGCTGATGCGGTAACTTACAGAACTGGATTTGCTATTTGCCATTCAGAAAAAAGCTTTCAAAATTCTTAGCATAATGTTGTTTCTCCTTATTACAGCCTTTAGCAAAGGAGTTAATTTAGGAATTACGAGGTTTTTTATATGCACACATATATGTATATTTATCAAAAAATTTTCTTGCTTGTCAGTGAGTTGAAAGTGATTGATCTCTAAAGTAAAACTCTAGAAGTCTTAAATGAAAACTGTAGTGTTCTACCTCAATGTATGTATAACGGTAAGTATAGGGGAGAACAGAAGACAACATGCACGCAACATAAGAAACATTAGGTGAGAAGTATCTAAAGAAATTACTATTTATAGCTGTGATTGCCTTTAAACTGTTTTCTTCAAGTGCCAGAAAAGCCTGTTCTCTCAGTTATTGCTGTTCAGCCCAGTATGAGCTCTGCTGATCAAATTGCTTCCCGCCTTTGTGATTTTTCATTTAGGCCTCTGCAGGTCTAAATCTGTTCCTTTCTGCTGGTCCAGATTCAGTCAGGCTTCTGCTCTCCAACCTAAGCATCTGAGAGTGATGTCCTAGTCACTCACATCTTTAAGATAAAGAGGTGGTGGAGAACAAACAATTCACAGCCACGTGGGCCTTAACTGGCACATCTCATCTCTTCCTGTGTTTTTCCATTCTTTTGGAACTTGCTATATATTAACCAGAAGCTGAGACATGGGCAGACTAATGTGAAATTGGGCTACATGGTAGAGATATCAGGAATGTGAATGGTAGTCAGTGAAAAAAAAAACCCAACCCGTACACGGGCTTCAGATCAGATCCCAGTATAGAAGAAGAGAGGGAAAGAACAGGAACATTCCATGCTCACAAAAATAACAATCTCCAACCTGACCCTGCTCATTTCACTGTGAAATGAAAGGCTGCTGATAAACCTCAGCGTTTCTTAAATGTTTCAGCGATGCTCAAATCAGAGCAGCAAATGAATCTTGGAAGCAGCTACAGGCCTCGTATTTAACTCTTGATTTGCTGTATCTGGTTTATTATTACTACAGGAAAATGGCTCATTGTGACCGTCTGATAGAAGTGGATGACATGCTGATGATGGGTCACAAGCCAGACCCAATGTGTGTCTTCACCTATGTCCAGTCTCTCTACAGCCACCTACGACATTTTGAATAAAAGCATCGACACCTCTCCAGCCAGAAGGGTCAAGTACAGTATGCTAATGGGAAGAATGACATTTTGCAAGTGGAGCACAGTGTTATTTCTTGCTTTTTACTGTCCCTTTGCTTACATTCAGCTGTGTGGCTGGCTGACTGAAGTGTTGCTGAGCAGTGCCTTGAAGTGTCGATCACATCACCATGTATGGAAATAGGTTTGAAAAAGACAAAAAAACATAGGCAAAGGCAAATGCTGTCATTTTGGTGCTGTAGTAGGTTGGATTTTTAATACTTTTATGATTAAAGATCACAGGAAGCTGATTTGCTGCTCCTATCTCTGTAAGGTTGGGGACACAGTTTTATGCAGTGACATGTAACTCTGCTATGAAGGTGTTTCCTCTTAAAAATGCAGGTAAAACTCCAGAAGATAGCACCTTCACTTCCATTTCTCTGTTGAGCATAGTACGAAAGAAATAGCAGATGGACAAGGAATATTCTGTTTAGCAAATAATAACCTACAGTACTCAACCACTAGGGCAATATTGTCTCTCCTGCAACCCTGCCCCTCTGCCCCAGCACACACCCACAGAGATCAAACAGGCATTGTTTTGTTCTCTTAAAACATAAAGAGAACAAAACCTCTGGTCTGCTGCCTGTGGTGACAAATAACTACCAAGTTGCACACCAGCGTTTGTCTGTAATGCGCACATCTAAAATGATTTGCTTAGAGGCATATTAAAGCCTCTACTGGCATTCCTGGATTAATTTCTTGATCATGAAGAATGGCAATAGCTGCTCTGTATATGAGATTGTGTGCTTGCATAATTTATGATTACAGGATAGGTGGGAGCTGGCAAGGTACAAACCTCTCTGAACAGTTGGAATAGAAACAAGGCTGTAGTGTGCTTAGACATGGACTCTGGAGGAGAGCAGCTCTCCAGTGTGGATGGGAGTGAACTCTTTACAACTTGTTCGGTCCTCATGCTGACCCAGAGGTAGACAGACAATACACCAAAAAGGTATGAAAGATATCAGTGTCTTGAAATGCCTTGCACTACTTTCAGTTTTCAGTTACATTAGCACTGAAACCACAATACAGTTCGATTATTCCAGATTTACTAGACAAAAGGATTGTGTATCCCCCTTTGTGGCTTTCTTTTTGATAAATCAACAGAGCCTTGTTTTCACAGTGAATGTTAAAATCAAAACCACTAAGAAAGCATACTTTAAAAAAGCCTTTTAAAATTATTTCTTCCCTAAGAACAGGCTCATAAAAAGTAAAAACTGAAAGCCAGAAGCCCTCTGCTCATGCTAGAGAATGTTTTTTAACCTGCACTTGTGCTTTTTGTAGATATTTATAAAGATTACTTTGGTTCTGTATTGATGACCATTTATAATAAAATATGTCAAGCGCTCTTCAGATTTGTTGCATCGCTTTAGAATGAAGTGACAGATAACCAATCAGTGAAAACAACACAGAGCTTTTGCTTAGAAGGTTTTAGTTCTATTCCTCTGAATTTCAGTTTTAAAAAGTACAGAAGTTCAGTTGCATTTGGAATATGATTTTCGTTCAGTCTCCCTTTCTAGTCAAGTTTACTTCAGAAACCATGAATGAAGCAACCATTTTATTAGCAGGAAACAACAACAACAACAAAACCACCAAAAGTGTATTAAGGCAAAGTATAAGTTATCTGCTCTAGGTGTGTATCATCAGGTTCTGTTTAAAGTGTAGCTATGCTGTTGCTGTGACACTGTGGCAACTGTTTGAGAGACTTAAATACACTTAATAATATAAGGATCTGAAAGATACTTAATCAAATTAGCAGGATCCTTGGTATTGTAAATCTCACACCTTTCATGAAAGTGGACAGAGATTGGGTGGGCTGTTCATATTAGTCATGTAACTGCCATTGTCTTCAGTTTTTTACTTTGTCTTGAACAGCCATAATTCTGAGGAGTGAGTGTGCACCTGGAGCTCTACCAAATGCCCCGTAAGGCTAAACACACTGTACTTATGGTTTGGAGAAGTTTGGATTAAGCATGATGAGAAATCTGTCCATGGCTGTCACCCGCAATACACCTATTTACTTTCTCACAGCAGAATACTTTTTATTGACTAACAGAGCCAAGTTCCATCATAGCTACCACAAGAGGGGCAATACTGGCTTTATACATCGCATTTCTTCACAGTCCCAGGGCATGGATGATTTTACTGTGTGATATGAGTGCTAAAGTCACAGGTAAGTGCTTGGCCAATTTAGGCCTAGTAGCATGTAATTACATAAAGGAAGTTTTAGACAGTAAAATTATTGCCAATTCACCGGGGTGAATTTACACCCTTTCTGTAATTTAGCTTGTTTTCACAGCTACCCGGAAGGTCTTTGTACAGGTTTTCTAAAGTCTTCCCACTTCAAAGAGGTGATGGTAAAGATACCTGCTACTTGCCAGCAAACTGATTGCAGGAAAGTGGAAAACTGTAAGCTGAGTTTAACTGTTAGTGTTTCATGTGTAAGAAGATGAGGGAGATAGTGCTATGATGTAATTTTAGAAAAACTTACAGCTTTGTGCATTAAGAGATCTGATCTATATGAATAACCTCGACTACTTGATTGTATGATTAAATTGAAATTAAAGTATATAATGTATGCCCCAATGGATTTTTCAGTATTTTTATTATTTAAAAAAATGCAGAGAGCATGTATGTATATATGACAGGAAACGTGTTTAGCACGAGTGATAAAGAGAATAAGTTGGCATAATATATATTTTACACAAATGGACTATTTCTTAGCTTTTCTAGTGTTTCTGCACTGTATCTAAAAGTGTCTATGGTTGTTTATTGGCAACTTGATCCTGCTTTTAGAGGCTAGATTAGTTTGTTCTGTGCAATATTTTCAAGATAATGTCAGCAGAGGCATCATCTACTTTTTAAGATTATGTTTGCGTACAGCTTCCCACAGCAGGAAAGTCCTCCTCTTTGAAAGTATAATAATTGAATGGATGCCTTTCATCACTTTTCCCTTTGTGCGACACTTGCAATAAAATGTTTAAACATATGTTCAAACTCCTGCATACATGCAATTAGTTCTAAAACTAGCCTACAAGGTTCAACGTGTGTCATTAATTTAAACATGGCCTGGTTTACAGGGATAGTTTTAAAATGTCCAGAATAAAAGATGGGATTGCTTTGCATCAGGTGCATTTAAAAGCCACTTTCAGTTATGTTAAAATAGCTCTGTGTCTAGATAAAGCCTCAGTCAAGTTAACTTAGGGTCATAGAATAGTTTGGGCTGGAAGGAACTGATCACTGTGGTGGTCATCTAGTCCAAGTCCGCCCCTACAATAAGCAGGGACATCCAATCCAGACTATTCTATGATTTTATAATCTTCAGCCTGATCATGTTGCTCAGAGCCCCATCCGAACTGATCTTGAATGTTTCCAGGGATGGGGCAGCCACCACCTCTCTGGACCACCTGTGCCAGTGTTTTGCCACTGTCATGGGAAAAAAATTCTTCCTTATAACTAGTCTAAATCAACTCTCTTTTAGTTTTAAACCATTGACCTTTGTCCTATCGCTACAGGCCCTCCTGAAAAGTTTGTCCCCATCATTTTTATAAGTCCCTTTTAGGTACTGAAAGGCTGCAGAAAGCTCTCCCCTGAGCCTTCTCCAGGCTGAACAGCCTTTGTTCATAGGGGGCCGGCTCGCGGCGGGGGCGGGGCCGGCTCGCGGCGGGGGCGGGGCCGGGACTGTCCGTTCACGCAGCCGGGGCGGCCGCGGGGCCGTTTTTTCTCCCCCTGTAAAGTCGGTGGAGGTTTTCGATGTCAACGGTGATTTAACCCCAGAAAACCATCTGAGGTAAAACTAGAGCTTTCTTATGTCGTATAATTCATATTGCAAAATCAGTTGTAAGTTTCATATTAACAGATGAAAAGGAAATAATAATAATGTAAATTTTATATTAACAGTTGAAAAGAAAATAATCCTTTACGGTAGCTGACAATGAAAAACAGCTTTATAGAATCATAGAATCAGTATATTCTGAGTTGGAAGGGACCCACGTTAATCATCGGGTCTAACTTTTAAGTGAATGGCGTGTACAGGGATCAAGCCCACAACCTTGGTGTTATTAGCACCATGCTCCAACCAATTGAGGTAATCTCAGGTAATTTACGCTTGGTTACTTTAATTACTTTGTCACGGTGTTGCTGCAAACTGGGGCAGGACAGCATCAGATACTGGGTGTTCAGAACAAAATGGCAGTGTCACAGTAACGTGGAGAACCATCTCTTGGGAGTTCCACAGCTTTCAAGGTGACTGAGCACGTTCCCAGAACCGTGACATTCATTGTTCTTAACGGCCATTCAGATATCTTAGCATTTCAGTTCATTCTGAATCATTTAGTCATCCCTCTGGAATTTGCTAGTATTTCTAAAAGCCTTGGAATGTTACTGGGAACACAGATAATAACATTTTGTGGAAGATGACTAATATGCAGCCTGATCCATCCTCTGTGACTCACGCAAGCCAAAATAAACCTCTGTTCAAACTAGCTTTGAGTTCAGATGTACTGAAGTCGTTGGAAATTTCATCTGATGTCATTCTCTTTATCTCCTTCATCTCTTCTGTCTGGCTCTCAGTATCTTTTCTTCTAGGCAAGAATATAGTTGCCACAAAGATGGAGCATACTACTAAGAATATTTTATGACTGACATTTTAGATAGCTAGACATTTAACACACCTCTCATTTGCTTTCACAATCTTTCTGCATTTCTGTAATAAAACAATCCAAAATTACTGCCCGCAGCTCTGGGAACTATCTCAAATTAATGTACAGAGAACAGGGGTTTTTTTCCAGACAGATCTTAACAGGCAGTAGGTGAAATGAAGCCCCAGTGGGTCGTGTGTGCTGCGTCTCCTCTGGCCAGTGCTGCAGCCTGGGAGCAGGGCGGGTGTAGTTCCCACAGCAGCATTTGTTTACCTTCTGTGCTGGTCGAGCAACGTCCTGCAATATTTAGTTGCACATTTAAATAGAAAATGTGCTGCAGCTGAGGAGATTGAGGCTGGATCCAGTGAAGGGGAACTGAAGATGTGGCACTTGGCCAGGGTTTGGACTTGAGAGCAGAATCAGTCAAGAGGTGTGTGAAGGAGAAAGGGGTTGTTGAAGGGTACCTGTGCTGGAGGGTGGGCAAAGCTGTCTGTTGCTGAGGAGTAGCTGTGTGCATCTGGGGTGAGGAGCAGTCCCAGGAACACTGGATGAGCATAGTGCAAGAATAGGAAAATTGATAATCAAACTGTTTTTCATAAATTCAGGGCATGGGTTTCACCCTACATTAAACAAGTGTTCCCAGTACGCTTGGTTCTTTGTTCTGCTTTAGCTCTTTCTGGGCTTTTCCATTTCCTCATTTGCCTGCTGAATTTCCTCCTTCAGCTTTTCAGGTCCTGTTTTTATTTCTCTTCCCCCTGCCCCTCCCAAATAATCATTAGAAAAAAATCACCTCGTCAGGCATTGGAACAAGCTGGCCAGGGAAGTGCTGGAATCACCATGCCTGGATGTGTTCAAAGGCCATGGGTTTGGCTCTTGGGGATGTGGTTTAGTGGTGAACATGGTGGTGCTGGGTTAACAGATGGACTCCATGATCTTAGAAGTCTTTTCCAACCTTAATGATTCTATGATTACATTTCTTTTTACAGTCTAGATTTCATCCATCTCTCCACCATAATCTTGAAAGGTATTTACTTCTCCAACCTGTGGGAGACTATTTATCTTTTATATTTGTTCTTTTTTTTTCTATTTTCTGTGATTGCTTGTTTAGTAATTCCATCCTCTTTCACAGGTCTCCTTTCCCTTCTCATTCCTATTGCAGACAGTCCATCTTTTCCTTTCAGTTCCACTTCTTTCCTCCTAGTTTCCATTCACAAATTCTTCTGTTTCTTCATTCTCCCACTCCAAACTCTTTTGCCTACACATCAGTAAAGCCTTGGGGAGCCTTGAGCAAGAAATCTATTCTTTTCATATCTGTGTCATTTTGCAGATAAAAGGAGCAAGAATATTTCTCATCCCGATGGACCTGTCTTCTCTTCCTGCTTCTGCAGCCAAATATAATGCTGTTGCTGTTTTCAGGTTCCACATTCCAAGAACTGACCTGCATTATATCCAGAAACTTTCCGAATAACAATGGCCAGACTGTTGCAAGATCCATCTAAATTCCATCCCTCAGAATGGGCTACCGCAAACATGATGCAGCGTGTCAGTACAGAGTCCCAGAAATCCAGGTCAGAGTGCATGATAGCTGAGAGTTGGCGGCTGGTGGATGAAATAGAAAAGACAACTCAGAAAACCCAAAGTGATGTCAACAAGAAAATAGGTAATCCCATGTGTTCTGCAAGGGTCAAGATGTGCTATTTGAGCTATACATTTAAGATGGACTTAGAAAATTAGCTGATAATGAGTAGGAATATATGTCAATGTCATGCTCCCTGATCTCATGGAAAAATTAAAAATATTTAAAAAATATATTTTGAGGTAGATTCTTTATAACAAAAGCCTCTTAATGCAGGGTTGCAAAACTGTTTCCACACGGCAGCCCACAGCACTATATGTACTCCACTGTGGAATAAGTCTATTTTTAGCCATATCTAAGATCTGAGCTACAGTCCTCTGGCATATAATACATGTTTGCAATTTTAATTCTGCAGAACAGAGACGGGAAGAAATAAAATTCTGGAAGCAAGAACTAGATAACAAGCTAGAACAAATTGTTCATGAGACAGAGTTACTGTTGACTTTCAAGAATAGGCTGGAGAGAGCTTTGGAGAGCTGCAAAGAGCCACTTGTCATTGCCCAAAAGTGTCTCCTGTACAGGTGAGATGATTAAGAAGAAAAGCATTCAAGGAGAGAAAAAAAAAATCTAGATAACGAACCTTTAACAAATAATAAAAAAGGATACAAACTAAGGGCCCGTCTCTCTTTGCAGTGAAGTCATAGTCTGATTTAGGTGTTAAAACACTGAGAATCAAAGCCATTAAGATATAGCATGTCTTCCCATGTGGCAAGGAAAAACTTTTGATTTGTAAAGCTGGGCTTCATCGTCTGTTAGCTGCAGGCATTTGAGCAATGTGGCTGATGGCTTTTACTCTTTTCATTTAGGCAGAGGCGAGTTGGAATTGACTTGGTGCATGATGAAGTGGAACAGGAACTGGTGAAGGAAGCTGAAGTCCTCCAGGGGATTATTGCTTTGCTGGGACATACATTGGAACAAACCAATGAGCAAATCAGGTGCAGAGGCAAAGAGCATAACAGAGCAAAGAGCATAACAGAACACTGATTAGCTGAGAAGCAAGACAGTCATAATCCTGTAAAGTTGTAGAGTCAGACTGAGCACAAGTCCAAAGTTACCTTCAATGCTAAACAGTTGCAGGAGGTCAGTCCTAATTCATACCACTGAATCAGTAATGGTGAGAGGTTCTGTTTGTTAGAACTCAGAGTACTTGCACATGATCCTTGGTCTTCTCATAATCCAGTCCTGTGCCTTTCATTCCAATGAGAATCGTACCATCAATTTATAGGGAGGCAGCTTCATACTGTAGATTTTGGGACTCCACAACTAACAGTTCATTCATGAAGATTTCCATAAATGTATTTGAATTACCTCATACATGTATGGATGCATGTTAAGGACACCTGGAAGTACCCACACTTTGGCTTAGAGTCTGGTTGTTTCTCCTCCTAGACAAAACCGTTCAGCAAAATACAACCTAGAAATGGATCTGAAGGACAAGTTCACAGCTCTGACAATTGATGATTACTGTGCTCGCTTGACAAATGACACTCCTGATATGATGTATGCTGATAATGCATTGAAAATAGAAGGAAAGTAAGTAGTTCTTTAGTTCAACCAACATATGATGATTATACAGATAATATGAGCTGTTGCAGTAATAGCAAGATTAATTTTGTGTAAAAAGACTTTATCTGTCCACCAGCTGTCTGTTATAATTAGTTTTTATACTTCTGTCCATCGCTTTTGTATCTGTGTAATATGTCTGTGAAATAA